AGGAAAAACTGCTCAGATTTTCAAGGAATGAAGGGGAAAACATTTTTTCGAGGAGACTTCGTCAAAATCTGAGCAGTTTGTACTCAAATATGAGTTACTCAAAGTTTCCCCTGCCCTTTCCTCAAAAAAATCATAAATTGTTTTTACCCGTGCTCCACACCTTCTTGTGGTTACGCCAGCTTTGAAAAACCTGGTAAGCGTCCTGGGGGAAAAAAGGAAAAGAGAGCGAGAAGTTCTTGCACGGAGAACGGATGAGCCTTTGGATCAGCTGCGAGATGTCGGAAAGCTTCCTAGGGTATAAGGGGCTATGACGCCGTGTGGACGTTGCTCCCTCCTCCCTCTCCTCCGTGCTTGCCACCGTGGCCGCGGGGCGTTTCTCTCGACGGCGCTGATTACCTCGGCTGGGCGTTATCTCGTGTGCGTTTACCTCCAACCCCACCATGTGGTGGTGGTGGTGGGCGGTGGTGGGGAGGCGGGATCGGCGTCGAGGTCGGCGTCTAATATACCTTGGAACGTGAATCTCATCACGCCTCGTCGCGCGTCCACTATAATGACGTGCTTGTCAACGCAGCCGGTGACTCGTCCGCCTCCTCGGCCTCCGTCGTGACGTGTGCCCGTCAAAGGTCGGCGTTGGTGTGGAGGGTGTGCGGCTCCAGTGACGTGCTCGTCAACACCAGACAGGCGACGACGGGATGTTCCGTGTCCTTCCGCACCCCGTTAACGCGGACCGGCTTGACTTAGGTCCGCGAACTGTCGCGACCGGACCCCTCCGCCGGTGCTAGTTTATCGCTGCGTGTTTAGCACGGCCCATTCGCCCTGTCGCGGTGGGGCGGGCCGTGGCGGAGCGCGGCGCCCGAGTGGAGGTTGCGGGGTGTGCACCCACCCCTATAAATCCCCGGCGCGCTGATCCGAGCAAATACTCGCTGTCCCCTCACCGCCCCGCCCACGACCCACGACGCATTTTTCTTTCCGGGCCCCGTCGTCCGCCCCCACGATGTTGTGCACCGC